TGTTTCCTGCGGCCGAGTATAAAAACATAAAAGTCCAAGAGTGCACGCTAACAAATAAATACAGCGGGGTAAAAAGACAAAACAAGACATCTTGTTGTCAACTGTTATATTATTAATAAATAAAAATCTCAATATGCTACAAAGGGCCTCTTCTCATTTTCAGATTCAGAATTTAACAGGGAGCTGTAATGAACCAGTGTGTGTGTGTGTGAGTGTGAGTGTGAGCCTCACAAACATCACTGTTAAACTCTCATAAAGCGACAGAAGACCTTCGACAGGTCAGAGTTCAGCGGTGCGGGAGGAAACTGTTCTGCCTCTCTGTAAATCAAACCCCCGATGGTTCAGACTCCATCTGGGAGTCTGAACCATCAAGAGTAACACAGTTGTTTTCAGCCTCATTGTTAGTGTAGCAGGTTGGTTTTGAGGTGGAAACACTTCAAACCCACTTCCACCTAAAATCACACAAGCACAAAGAAAGCTTCGAGGGTTGTGGTTACGTACGTTACTGTTTGCGTTTATGCCCCGAATGTGACGCTGCTGTGCACTTCAGGGACCTGGACAATACGCAGTCATACGCTGACATTTCAGACATATTGTTTTTTGGTTTAGAGGAGGGAATTACTGGATTTTCTCTGGACCAAGACAAAGAAATGCTGCTGCAATGAACACTGTAGACAGGGACCAGCATCAACAGATAGTAGAATTAGTAGCCGGCACATATAACAGTGGGTTTAGAATCACAGTGTGAGGGACTTTTATAGAGCCGCCATTTTAAAAAACAAGATTTGATCATACAGGGGAGAAATCCATCAGTGGAGAGAGGAAGCACAGTGATCAGTTTCTTCAAAGAGAACAGCCTCAGTTACCCACAATTCACTGCAGCCTCATCTGCAGTCCACCCAGGACACACCCAGGCTACATAGGGACTATATAGCTGACATACACACACTCACACACACTCCAATATGATTATTTATCCCAAGTAATAACGTCATCGCAGATTTTCCTCATAGTGTGCCTTGAGAAATTCTAAATAAAGTGGTTAAATTCAACCTTTTTTACCACCTGTTCTCTCTATGACAAATTATGCCCTAAGAGATGATTAATAATATATAATTTTATATAAAATTTAATTATTGATGGACTGAAATTTTATTATGATAAATTTTTCAACTATATCGCCCAGCGCTACTTTGGATTTTATGAACTTTTGTTGAATTAAATAATTAATTAGAAGACATTATTTTGTCAGCCGCTGTGACTCCTCTAATTGTTTAATCAAATAATAATAATAATAATAATAATAATTATAAGTCACAACATTCACAACAGTACTAAGCTTCTTCTTTAACTGAAACTCAACACCTTACAGTCCCTTCAGTAAAAACCCCTGGAGCTTTGGTAACAGGTAACAGAGATGAGAGTAACCTCCTGGGATTAACTTAAAGTCTCCTCCAGTAAAGCACCAGAAGGTCTGTATATAAATCAAAGTGAAATATTAAATGTATTCCTCTTGTTGTTGCTGAACCTCCTGCGGGATGTTAAGAGGACAGACACACTGAGTCAGCACCCGTCGCCCTCTGTGGCCATCAGGACCTCAGCAGCAGCTTCAGACACAAACAGAGCACTCATCTGTCTGCAGGTAAACCTGACTGCATGTCGCTGAACTTGGAGGGATAATATACTGCACACGGCTTCATTTTCAGGCATTATTCGGTGGGATCATTTCGGCATCATGTTATGAAATGTATCTCCTTTGAATCACGACCATCCATCTGGCTATTATGTGCTACAGCTGGACAGGCTGCACATACACACTTCTCATATAAAAGCCAGTATTGTAATAATATCCGTCTCAAATAACAGCACAAACAAATAAAGGCCTCATGAAACAACAAACATTGTATCATGTATACGCAGCCACTCCACCGCTCTCCCTTTCTCCTGTTTAACACAGTTCGCACTCACTAATCGTTTCCAGTCGTTGTCGTTGTTTTTCCTCAATCACAGCGAAGCTGCTACCAATGAAAACCCAACACTTCCTGAAGATTTTTCACAACAAAAGTCAAACCAATTATAAACACAGGGGGACAGCCGAAGAGCTGGAGTGGAAACCACACCCCGGCCGGCAGAAAACCGGTCTGTTTTTTTTGTTTTTTCCCCACTCATCACTTATTAACTGTAACTGGAGACATTCATATGCTAACATCAGGGCTTTCCCCACAGCGTGTTAAGCTGGAATTACGCTTCTCCAGGCTGCAGGTCGGCCCCCTGATGCGTAGGTTTGCATGCATCATTCCAGCTTTAACTCAATTCATCAACTCATCGTTTGTCTGTAAAATGTCAGAAAATAGTGAATAATCACAGCTTAACCAGAGCCCACGGTGATTCCTCGGAGCAATTAGCCCCAGAAAACTATGAACTCACAAAACATGATGCATCAGGATGTGGGCGGCAGAGCATCACAGCCGAACCACTTCACGGTGGGAGGGAGGGAGGGAGGGAGGATGGGGAACCCTGAACAGCCATTATCTGACTGTGCACAATTTTTTATTGATCATCCTGTGATGACGCCAACACTGTAAATCACTGATTTAATTCAAACTAAATGTTCTCTGACGAAGGCTTGAAGACAGAAAACTTGTTAATTAAGACTTTGTTTATGATATTGTGTTCTGATGTGGATCCGTCAGGTCTCGACAGCCATATTGATCCAGATATCGCTGCATCACTAATCGCTCCTCTCTCTTTAAAAAAAAGGAGCAGCGTGCAGGATTTAGTGGCATCTAGTGGCGACGATTCAGACTGCACCTAACTGAACACTGCTCACGTTTGTATTTGACGACCTGGGAATGAGAACAGGGCCTATTTACAGCTAGAATTTGGTTTGTCTGCTCGGGGCTACTGTAGAAACATGGTGGATAAAGATAAACAGCTCATTCGAAGGTCACAAAAACACGACAATTCCTATATTCAGGTGATTATTCACTAATAAAAACATACCTAGGAATATTATATTACATCTCTGCCAATAGATCCTCCCTAATGTCACACAATGGATCTTTAAATTCATACGTATACAACTGAGTTATGCTATCAAATGGCAGCCCGGTGGACTCACTGATCCAGTAAACAACCACTGTTGCCTCAGAATCTAAAAAATTCAACCTATTTCCTATAAACTGAAATCAAAGTTTCCTCCTCGCTGCTGATTTTCTTCCTTGCAAAGACCTTCTTTCTCTCTTTCTCTCTTTCTTTTGAGTGAATTTAGCAGCAGAGGAAAAAACAGCAGGAGCAATGCCCTCGTTTGGAGGTCACACGCTGAGGAGGAGTCACCATGAGCAAAAAAGATGCGGGATCCCCCCTCCTTCCTAACGCAATAAGGCAGGACACACCCAGGTGGAGAGGGGAGGGGATGGATGAAATGAGAGGAGAGGAGAGGAGGAAAGAAAAGGAGCAGAGCTCGCTACTGGTGCTCATCCGCCCATCTTAGCAGATGACGTAAGGACGGTTCATCGCGAGCCTTGAACGAATTTTAATTAAAATAAAAACAAGCTCATGGAGCTCCCTAACCATTTCTTTCTCCCTCTCCAACATTTGTCATTATGATGCTTGGAAAATAGCAAAAGTGCCATTTACAATGTGAGGGGCCAAATGTGGGCAAACCACTCCAACAAGCTCAACAAGCTCATCCTGAAGGCGCTGCTGCATGCATGACAACAGCGTGAGGATACCCAGAAATACACAGCACCACCACAGCCTCACATCAAAACCGGAGCCGCAGCAACCAGTGTTCACTGAGGGAACCAAAAAAAACTGTAATTTACTGATGACAAAGGGTTTCTTTGGTTACCAGGGGAAATATCTGTCGGAAAAAAAACCCAAACACGAGCAGAGACAATGAGCAAACTGTTCCAGACACTCGGAGACATCCGCAGGCAGTCTGATTCCTGCCTCGCAGCCCCTGCAACAGCGCTACGTGCCTTTCTGTCGCCCGGGGAGACCCGACACCAACGAACTCGATTCATAATTTCACTATTTTAAAATGCATTTCCTAGCCAGACAGTGTACGTGAACATTTGACACACCTTTAACAGACACATCCCAATCAGAGGGGACAGCTCTTCAATTCGGCCTGCTCCAAGTAAACCGCACAAACATCTTATTTGGGTAAAATGGCAACTTTACCAACTGATACGCACTGGCGGTCGCCTGGCTGGAAAATACAAAGCGGCGGGCGACAGAAAGTGGCAAACACTGCGTACCACGTTTAAAAAAGTTAATATCGAATCAAAATCGAGCGCTAGTCTTTGTATTATATGTGTGTGTATTTCTAAATGAGCATACAGTGCACACGGTGTACGGTCAAAGGCGTTTTTTGTGGTGGGAAGGGGAATCGAATAGCGATGCAAGTTGGCGTTTAACCTCCGCATTTTTTGAATGGAGACTTGACAGCGGCTGACTGCAGAGGAGAGGCACGTTTACCGGGGGGGGGGGGGTGGGGGTTGGAGGCTGTCGGGACGTAAGGAAACGGGTGGAAAACGTGCCTCGGGAGTTTGTGAGACACTGTTGCAATTAATGTTACACAAAAAAAAGTCAAGACAGAGTCCCTGAACGGAACAGTGGTGCGTTCACACCTGTGGAAAATCCCACAATTCGCCCCGTAGTTCGCTACTTAGTGTCAAAGAGGTTAAAAAGAAACGGGGGTCGTTGGTTGTAGCCATTTACCCCGGATGCAAACGTTAGTGCGAACTACTGGGGAGGAGAGAGGAGGTTTGGTTGGTAGTGTGGTAGGGGGGGCACGACTGACTCCTTCAAAACACTTTAACTGAAGGAGGAGGAGAGGAAGAGGAGGGAGGGCACCGGCAAGACTAACAGCGTTATGGTTTCGGCCATAAAGTGAATCGAAAAGAAATAAAAGTTTGACTGTAAAAAAAAAAAAACACACCAAGAGAGATAAAGATAGAGAGAGAGAGAGGGTGAGAGAGAGAGTAGTTTACCTCCACTCCGTCCAAATCACGTCCTGCGGGGTGGTGTCGGTGTCTGTGTCGGTGGAGGAAGGAGCAGTTCAGAGGGGTTTGTCCATTTCCCAGCACGGCTCCAAGTTGACAACTGCAGTGGTGGAAAAAAATGACTGGCAGACCGGGGTGTGTGTGTGTGTGTGTGTGTGTGTGTGTGTGTGTGTAAGGGGGGGTAAAGATCTTGTTCCGGCTTTAAAAAAAAGAAAATTCTCCTCACAGTTAATTACATGAAGAAAAAAAACCCTCAAAAAATTGTTTTAAAAAATCAATCCGGATGGAAGAAAATGCTCCCTTGTGTGTTTTTCTGTCTCCTCTCCCCCTGTAAGTAAAAGCAGAAGAGAGAGAGGTGAGAGAGAGAGAGAGAGAGAGAGAGGGTAAAAAAAGAGAGAGGCTCTGATAACAAAGAGCAGATCCAGTTAAATGAGGACTGGCTGGTGGTGTTTGTGTTAGAGAGAGCGGTGGGTGGGACTGTGGGTGGGTTGGTTAGGGAGGGAGGAGGAGGAGGAGGAGGAGGTGTCCGACACATTCAAACAGGACCAGAGAAAAGACCCAGCGTCCGGATCCGCGTCTTTTCCCTAGCTGAGAGACAGAGAGAGAGAGAGAGAGAGAGAGAGAGAGGGGAGGGAGGAAGAGGGAGGGAGAGGGGAAGGAGGAAGAGGAAGAGAGAGAGAGAGAGAGAGAGAGGGAGGGACCAGCCCTGGGATTGCCCTGCATTTAAGGTGGATCTATGAATTAATTAGGTGATCAGGCAGGAGAGAATATCGAGAACATCAGCCCCCCTCCCTTCCTCCTCCTCCTTCCTCCTTCATATAGGATCCAGATCCAGGATGAAGCCCCCCCTTGAGAATCAGAAGAAGAATAAATCCACATCTGGATCTCTTCTGGAGTCTCATGTACGGAGGCTTATTTCAGCCAAATGGCAGAAAATCAAATGATGAGATTATTATGACATACTATCTTATATATATATATATATATATGGTATAAATGTATAAAGGGGGGTTGCAGCTATTAAGAGATTCAAAAGTGGAACAAAACTAATAGAAATAACATTTTAATTGCATAAATAACATTTTAAGAATGTTACATTTCAAGAAAGAAGTGTTAATATTTATAGATTAATTAAAAAGTTATTATGGCTGCGTTCACACTGTAAAGCCTAAGTGCTCAATTCTGATTAATTGTTCACATCTGATTTTGTTTTGGGTTTTTTGGCTGTTCACATTGTTTTACTTAAATGTGGTCTATATCAGATTGCAGTCTGAACAGGTTACGGTTCTGAAGTGACCCGGATGACTTAACGTTAATCTAGTGTGATACAAAAGTGACTGTTCGCACTGAATGAACCGAAAAAGATCAGATTTCACATGATTGGCAAGAATCAAGCTGTAATATTACAACAATAAAATAAAGTTAATTTCTAAGATAAGATAGATTAGGAAGATTAACACTGTCCAGATATTGGAGAGTTGGAGAATAAAGTCAAAATACCTTCATAATGTTTCAAGGATAAAGTTATATTTCAAGAAGGTTGCAATATTTAGAGAAAGAAATAATAATATTTCAAAATAAATCAAGCTAAAAGTCATAATACATAAATAAAGTTGTAACATTTAGGAAGTACTGGGCTGGGATACACACATACAGTAAATTATACTTAATATGACACTTCTGGACCAGCGTATGGAGGCTAATACATGCCAGATAATAATAAATATATTGACGACTGATACAACTGTTAGTTAGTTAGTATCAGTCACATTTCACATACTTACAACAGTAAATTAAAACTATATTTACTATGTTATTTTGTGATTGTGTGTGTGTGTGTGTGTGTGTGTGTGTGTGTGTGTGTGTGTGACTTTGTATCTGATTATCCCAGAGTCACAACCAGTGTGATCTGTAAATGTATTTATTGATTTAAGTCAGTAATTCCTCTGTTATAAATGTTGACATACAGGATACATTATGGAAAGGATGTACTTTTATTGCTATGTCAGACATAATTTATAGGATTTTTTAGGAGATTTTGTGTTTAATACTTTGAATAAAGTAGAAAAGTTTATTAATTTAGCTACTGCCACTTAAAAACTATTATCCAATTACAAATATTAAATTGAATTTGAGCTGAAATGAACTTGAATCCCAGAGACAAATATCAAAGATTTTGCCTTGAACAGCAGTTATATTTGATATTTAACCTTTGGAGTAAACAGATACTCATCCTTTTAAAGATATTATGAGGCATTGAACTCTAAGTTTATCATTATTTATTTATTTATTTTGATTAACTGCTCACATTAAAGTCCCCCATTGCACATCTGTTTGATATGTAGTGATGAAAAGAGACGACCTCATTATGAATAAAAGGTGGAGATGTACACTGATTGTGTTCAAGTAAGGTGAATATTTCTGGTCCGAAAAAATGCAGAACATGAACAAAGAATCTGAAAAGAAATTTCTCTCTCTCTCTCTCTCTCTCTCTCTCTCTCTCTCTCTCTCTCTGACTGCCAACTGGCCACTCAATCAGCTCTGCCTCCCACGCTATGCTAATGACAGAGAGGCAGAGAGGTGGTTAAAGCTGCCATTTAAACAGCACAGTACACTGCTTCACTTTCAATGGAAACTGACTGCAGATGAAGGAGAGCTACGGATTCTCATAAACTTGTTCCCAAAGTCACCATCAGTCACCACCACCATACGCCCTCCGGCGCCTCATCCTTTCTCTGCATGTATTTAATTCAGTTTTTTGGTTTAATTTATACAGCCCGATATCACAAATGCCACATTTTCCTCAAGGGGCTGCATAATATATACAGCACACCTTAAGCTACAATAATACTCATAGTCCCTCGATTCAGATCAGGAAAAACTCCCCAAAAAAGGGAATAAAACCTCTGGAAGAGCAGCGGAGGGAGGGATCCCCTTGCCCAGGACAGAGACTGGCAGTAGATGAGGACATCAGCATAGTAACATTACAGTATGGACACATGAGGATGACACAATTATAGACAGATTATTTAAATATGGAGAATATGGGTCGAGGACGATTTGTCCAGGTGCTGTGAAACATCCACAGAGCCTCCTCTCCACCAGTATAATATACCCACTATTCTCTCCACCAGTATAATATATCCACTATTCTCTCCACCAGTATAATATATCCACTATTCTCTCCACCAGTATAATATACCCACTATTCTCTCCACCAGTATAATATATCCACTATTCTCTCCACCAGTATAAATCCACTATTCTCTCCACCAGTATATATATCCACTATTTTCTCCATGCATGAAAGTGATCATTGAACGTTCCATAATAATGATATCCTAATAAATCAAAAAGGATTTATATTTATTTTTTATCTCTATCGACACTGGAGGAAAATATTTGTCTCTTTAGCTGCTAAATGCTCCACTTTGTTCACCGGCTTTGTCCCTAGTTTGGTGCTGGGCAGGTAGGTAGTTTATTATTGAGAGCATCTGTCTGTCAGTGAATATTTAGTGACCTTGCAGATCATTAAAATGGTTCATTATATTGATTAAAACTATTAATATGGTATTCTCTGTTGCAGCTTAGAAATATGTAAACATTTGTTTATATATGCAGAGCTTTGCAACAAAAGTGAAGCCAGATCAACCTTTTTTATCCCTCCTTGTCTGGACTCCCTGCTGTTCCTGATTGAAATAAATAAGCACACTAATGTAGATCTGAAAATTACCGTAGCTACAAAGTTTTAGCACCATTTAAGAAGAACTAGTGACATCCAACCACTTTTCATTCATATTGCCTCAACAGATGATTTCTACGGTGGCCGACAAGGGCATTCACGCTGCAAATGGCAAAACGCTGCAAACACGGGAATGATGCAAAACCAAAAACACACAAACACATAAAACAAATCCAACAGAAGAATGCTGCAAATACCAAAAAACACACAAAACCCCAAAACAACTGCAAGAGAGAAACGCTGCAAATTCACTCCACTCCCTGTGAGGGGAAGGAGGAGATTGTTAAATCGGCAAGGTTACGTCAGAGAAAGTGGATATTTTATTTTCCTGAACATTTAAATAAGACCTTTTTTTAAGGTTTTACTTTCAGTAAATTATATGGGTGTTTGATTTGTGTTTTCTGTGTTCTGGTCTCATTTGAACCTCTTTCCACCGCCCTCCTCCTCTATCGTCTAACATTAGTTAATTGGAGATAATGGACACCTGGCCGGACATTATCCCTTACATAAACACAAGCTGTTATAAATCAAAGATTCTAGCACGCTAACATTAGCTATGTAACTATGCTGCTCTTGTATAATATTGCCAACTTTCTTATTCTTCTTCTTCTTCTTCATGTCTTTCGGGTCTGGTCCCAGAGGCCTGGTCCATCCCTCAGGTCGGGTCCCCCTAGTGGCCTGGCGCACTTCCGTTTTGTGGAGTGAATTTCTTTATTTCTCTCTTGGAGTTGTTTTGTTGTTTTGTGTGTTTTTGGTATTTGCAGCATTTTTCTTTGGCATTTGTTGTTTCTGGTGAAATGTGAACAAACTACAGAGTTTAAAGTAGTAGTTTGACAGTTTTTAGTGGCTTTTTTTTAGTGGCTTACAGAGAGATTTTGTAATTTAACTGCTTTAATGCTGTTTTAATGTGTCTACATTCTTCTTAGGATTATGTAAGATGTCAGTGTCGGTGTGTTAGACCCCTCCATCCCCCCCCTTGCTTCAGAGGAATGTGTCATGTCAGGACTCACCTGCCTGATTCGCTGCAACCCTTCTCCTGAACACACTGTTGTCACAACACACCTATGTATCTATTGTCAATACATCCAGGACAGGCGGGAGAAGAAGAGCGGAACATTTCATCTAAAGAGACTCCGACCACAAAGCCCAGCAGGACAAAGAGGACACAGAGACAGAGAATAAACTGTAGGAGATTAAATGTAAAAAGAACACCAAATACGCCCAGTGATGGCCATGAAATCAGCTTTATTTATTAATATATTGTAGTTGGTGATTATTTAATAGAAACGTAATGAACTGTTTAACGATGCGGGCTCTGGTTTGATTAACAGACGCCTGAGATACTCCAATTCCATCCTTTGCAATCATTTCATTTCTGCAGTGTCACAGTAGTGGAGCAAATATTAATCTCCAGTGCTGCTGGACTGTTTCGATTTGTCGATGCAGTGATTGCATCTCTGCAAACGCCACAGTCAAGCAAGCCACTGCCTTTTCTAAAAGCTCTTTATCACTTTTCTCGAATACTGGCAGAAGAAAGCTTATTACCGGCAGCAGACCGATTGTGAGCAGAGCCTGGCGGCTTTTCACAGACTTTGAAGCAGCAGTTTCGAGCGGTCAGCTTAATAATACTGACAACCCACAGATTCCTCACTGGCCAACCACCATATGTCAGAGTGGATGACAGTGCTACTAAGGTCGTGATGAGCAAGGAACAGCTCTGGCACCATTCCTCCATACACCTCATACTTTAACTCTGCTTCCTGCCACCTCCAAAAGTTTTCTGACGACTCCCCCATTGCCGGATGCATCAAGAAAGAAAGTGAGGAGGAGAACAGA